CACCTGGTCACAGAACACAAGTCTGGGGTGACCCAAGTCTGCAGTGACTCACGACTGGAGTGACTCAAGGCTGGGGTGACTCAGGTCTGGCACACCCAGTCCTGAGGTGACCCAGCTTTTGAGGTGATCCAGTCTTGGGGCGATGCAGTCTTGGGGTGACCCAGTCTGCAGCAGATTTTGCTTTGTTTTGTTGCGAGTATTATAGTACACCCAACGGAAAAAAGCAAACGAACCATTTGTTTCGAATTGGACGCAACGCTGTCATCGTCGCGGCAAAGAGCGACAACTTCCGGCAGGGCGAGAACAGGGGAGAAAGAAGGAGGACTATGCGGAGGACTAGATCACAAAACAGGACTTCGTGACGGGCTAGTTTGTGGCTTCTGGAAGCCGCCTGGCCGCAGAACACAAGTCTCGGTAAACAAGTCTTGAGTAGAATTTGCCTTGTTGTGTTGTTTGTGTCTGAACGGAAAAACACAACATGTGTTCGGCATTGGATACAGCGCTGTCATCGTCGCGGCAAAGAACGACGATTTCCCGCAAGGCGAGAACGCTTGCCCAGGAGGGAAAGAAGAAGACTACGAGGAGGGCGAGGCCACAGCAGGATTTTGCGACGAGCTCGTCGCCTGGTGGCTCGTGGAAGCCACCTGGCCGCATCACACAAGTGAACAGTCAAGTCTGGGGTCGTGACACAACATGGTTCCCGCGCACGTTTTTCCAACCCTAGCATCGCTCAAAGGAAACCTCCGGCTTGCTGCAGAAGTTACGGCTTTCTCTTTGATATCCGGATTTGCTGCAGCCTTCATGCTCAAAGCTGTCGCTGCTAGCAGTGCGGTTGCGCGAAAAAGCCATGCTGCTTCTGGTCTTTTGGGAGTTCACGTACCAGCACCGGCGGCCGAATGGCTACATCGCTCGTGAACGCGAGAAACTGATTCTCTGCAGCCTGACCACTCAGCAACTTGGCTTTCTCTTCACTAACTGAGCTTGTGTCGTGCTCTGCGGCAACTCCGCAGGCATTCCTCGGCATTGCTATGCTTGTTCGTCACCCGGGACGGCAGATGCACACATGGGCATGGGGGGTGGTCTCTGACGCGAGTGGGCCCACTTCTCCTGCTACAAGCTCATTTCCACTCCGCGGGCCCCGGCAACTGGGACACTTGGCTTACCCTTGCCGGATGCTCAGCAGCAAAAAATCACGGGGTCGGATGCACATTGCAGACTGAACAGCCGGACTTCAGCCAAGGAACGGGATGCCATTTCGCCGGGCCACATCCAAAGTGGGGCCACATTGTTTCAATCCAACTGGCCAGCTGCTACTTCGCCGTCGTCCCTGTGTATAGAGCTCTAGCTCTCTAACGAGTCTCACAATCGCCCGGTAGTGGCATCTGGCGACGCCCAAGCGAAAATTTACGCCTGGGACATGTGCTACATGGTATAACTTGTCAGTTGAAGGCATGAACAGCACTTCGAGGTCTGCCGCTGCGTTTGCTCCCAAGCTCTTTCCTTTAAGAACTCTGCAGCGATCGTACGGACAGCGATCCGTCTGGCACACGAACCGTCCACATGTTGCTAGGCTAAAGCAGACTGCAACCTGTCGGTGTTCTTCTTTGGGTGAAACATGGCCACAACAACTGCCGAAGCAGCTTTTGGCAGCACTTCCCGCGCGCTCAAGATTCACCCGCGTTGGCTGCAGCAGATCCTGGAAGGCACGAAGCGCATCGAGATCAGGAACAGGCCCTGTCCCCACGAAGGCTGGATCTCTTTGGCTGCCACCGGCATCCTTGAAATTCAAGGGCGGGCATTGATTTCCGGGTCACGCAGACTCACTGCCGCTGAGCGTGAAGAATATGCAGGAGCTCTGGAGGTCGGGCTGGCACGCAGCGCAGAGGGGATATACCATGTAGCTGCTGTGATCGCAAGCTATGAAAGATTCAAGCATCCGTGCCCGTGACAGGTGCTGTCCTACAAAGATCCGTGGGCCTGGGACATCGCAGACGTGCAACGTTTACGACCGCCGGTCGCCATCCCCAGCTGGGTTGCCAAGGGTAGCGTGCAGTGGCTGACTCGTGAGCGCTGGCAGCGTTGGGACGACGCACAAAGCAAGCCCAGCAGCAATGCCCCAAAACGGGGTAAGCAGGTGCATAAAGCTCGGTCAACCGCCAAGGCACAGCAGTGAGCCTCCAGAAGAACCCACGCTCTTTTCATCCAGGAGCGCACGGGTCAGCGGTGCTTGAAAGAAGACAGTGTGGCACAAGCGACAAGGTTGTCCAGCAGACCCAGGAGACAGCGTGATGGAGCGTGCAACGATGCTGAGCTTTACCTCCTTATCGGCTCCAGCACAAGACGTAGCTGCCCCTGCACCAAGTAGTCACGAGGATAAGTTTGAGTTGCCAGGCAATTCACGATGCCGCCCATGAATTACGCGAGGTGGAATCATCTGGACAGCGGCACCAGCAGTGGCAGCAGCAGCGCAGAGGAAAGTTTTGCATCACCGAGTCCGCCGACGTCCCCGCGGCAACCAATCGTAAGGGGCCAGTATGCGGTGCCTGACCCACCTCTCCCGCGCGATCCGGAATTTCGGCGAGAAGTTCTTCGTGAGCGTGCGGAGCTGATGGCCTTTGCGACGCAGCACGCGCCTCCTTCAAGCAAAGCAATGAAGACCTGGCTTCGGCTGGAATCAATAGGAGAATGCTCGCCCTGCACTTCCCAGAACTTCTTCAAACTGATGCTGTTCATGCGCTGGACGCCTGACAAGATTGGCTGGTTCCATTACCCCTCCTTCAAAGCCTTGTGGGAGTCAGCCGGGCGTGATCGGGCGCATGCTTTTCGGATGCAGCGCAAAGTGGGCATCTACTTGTACAAGCGAGGCGGACGGCAATGCATGCAGTTCCACTACTACGTCCTGAATTATGCCATGTGTGGAGACTATTTTCTTCCCGACGTCCAGAAGCCCTTGTCTGCCTACGGCTTCGTGAATCGCTTGGATAAAGTCTGGGATGGCATCGGTTCCTGGCGAGCCTGAGTCCGAGATGTTAGCTGCTAGCAGCAAAGCGCCAGGAAAACCTGGCACAATCCCGAACAGCGGGCTTCAAAACTGTTCACCGTACCCACGCTGGTAAAAAGGAAAGCTCCTGCCTGCTGCGTGACCGGGGGGGCACTCCGACCGAGCCAGACACACACGCGGCATTCACAAGCTGGCATCTGAACGTATGCTGCAAGCAAGAGTGTCTGCTCTGCTTGGTCTCAGCATGTGTAGAGAGTCGTGGCGCTTGGTACGTGAACCTGTCCTGTTTTCAGGCATGTTTGACTGGGTGCACGAAACACTTCGGCTGCAGATAGGTCGCCGAAGCCGTCCTTCCTTCCCTAGACCCACAAGACATGGAGTGCTGCTGCATCCAATCGGACGTTCTGAACGCAGAGAACTGGGAGCAACCGTGTCCATGCGCGTGGTTCAGGATCCCTTGGATGGATTGGCCTGAATGTTCCAGAGTGGAGCAAAACAAGCCTATCCTAATTGACGTTCCCGCGATGATTCCCGTCGGTTGTGTCTGGTCGCACTGCAAGACGTGGATGGTGGAGGACGAGCAGGTGTGGGTATACCGCGTGCACCCAGACCATGTGCACGACGTTCCTTTGCAGTGGTACTCCGCCCGCCTGGCCATCCGCAAGATACGTCCAAACCTGCATGTGTGCTTCGAGATGACAGACGCAGATGCTGGGAAGACGCTGTGTGTACGATACGCTTTCTCAGGCGATTTCATCTTGGAGATGTGCGCGTCCAGGCATGGCCGAATCTCGTTGGGCAGTGTGGAGACGGTGCTCCGCTGGCAGCTAGGGCTCACGGAGCAGCAAAATATCATATCGCACGAGCAGCCGCCGGTGAGCTTCTATCCGTCGGATATCGAGTCGGAGTTCACAGAGTCTTCGGCCGCGCACATTTCCGAGGACGAGTCGGAGCTCTCGGACTTCAGCTTCTGAGCTGGGGAGCCGGGAGCGGATTGGCTGCACAGAGCCGCAGCGGCAAGTACAGACATCGCGCCCTGAGTCGCGCGATACCTTCGCAATGGCATGCAAACAGGTAGGTTGACGAGAGAACGAATGCAGCCTGCCCACAACTGCAGCGAAAGTACCCTCAGCACAATCGAAACTCATGACACAGACTCCGTCGCTCTGCCTGCAGTCTCAATCAAGCCGGTTAGTGCAGCAGGTCTAGATTTCGCTTGCTCTGCAGTAGCAATGGCATCGGCAGTGCGGCGTTCCTTCGAGCCTCTCCCCTGGGCCACCATAAAGTCAGACTGCGTCGCCACTCTTCGGAAACAAGCTGGCGCGAATCCACCGCTTGGGCCGCCTGTCGCTGGTGCGGCTGATCGGCTGCGACACCGCAGTGGCGACGTTGCTCTCCTTGCGTCTCGGCTGCTCGAGGTAGATGGGGAATGGCTGGCAGCATGGTCATCGTCGCAGGCGATATCCCTCGATGATGCAGCAAAGCAAATTGTGCAGAAATTCAAGGAGGCAGAAAGAAGACTGACTGCCACGCCGATCCCAGAGGCCTTGCCCAACTTGGAGCTCTTGCCCGAAGCTGCTCTGCCTATGGAGCTTCCAGCTGCTCCGAACGCTGCGGAGACGGGCGAGAACGAAGCGTGTGAGCCTCGCGTGAAGCGCCTTCGGCATTCCCATACGGGGCCGTCCCAGCTTCTGCGCCTCGCTGCCAGTGCAGTTGCTCAGCGGCAGCGACAGCAGCAGCTGTAGTACTGTAGCGGCATGGATACCAAATCAATCCTGGGCCGGCGAGGTTGCATCCAGCAGCACGCAAATCCGCACTGCTGCCACTTACAACAAGGGCAGGAGACGAGCACAGCCTGCCCAACTTTCCAGAAAAATTGCTTGCGCTTATTGGATGGTAACCGGGACTTCGGATCTTCATCCTGTCCTTGAACCGAAGGCAAATTCTAAGTCTGCAATTTAATCAGGCTTTGCCAATTGCTGCGACACGAAGTTTTCGAGCTTCTACAGCCATCCGGCTCGACAGGAAAACAGAGCACCCTGTCTCCACGCCTTGATCATTTCCTGCGGCATGTCGCTGGAGAGGATTCTACAAGCTGCTGGAAGCAACTGCATCCCTTTGCTGGGGATAGCTGGCACGGTGCCGCTGCTGCGATGCAGCAGGAATTGCTTGGCCACCGGCCAAGGTGTTCAAGGCACTTCGCCTCGGGTCTATATCGCGAGCAGCCTCCATCGCGCAAGAAGCGTGTTGAAGCCTCTCCTCGACGGGCGCTTGCGGTTGCCTGGCTTTCATGCCCCAGGATTTCCAGTTTACGTTGAACCATCCTGCCCACAGAGAGCCTTTTGGTTGAACCCAAACTCACATCCGTGGTACCGCCGCCTCGGCAGCGAGAACCGCATGATTGAGTGGCTGTACGACACAGACCTTCTGGCCTTCACCCCTGCAGAAGCCGTCCTGATCATGAATGCGTGGTCTCCGTACCTCCGAGCCGAAGGGGCCCATCTCAGCGACTTCTTCCAGGATGCCAGAGCCAGGTTCTTCTATACGCCCTGCCACAGCCAAACCACTGAAGACGAAGCCGGGCCTCTGAGCGAACTTCCTGCAAGTCTCGTTATAATCTTCACTTACTGCGGCTTCGAGGGTGTTGTTTGGGCGGGTGCAATAGCAGACCTTCGACGAAATTTTTGTCAACGTCGGTCTGCCAAAAGCGCACGCGACGCGTTCCGTTTAGTTTAGCGGCAGTTGGCAGATGCAGAAGCTGAGGCAAAAACTGACTTGTGTGTGTGTCTGAGAATGTCATGCTACCGCAGATGAAGCATGTTGATGCAAACCATCCCGCCCAGGCTTGCGCGACAAAGAAGAAATACTCTCTGGACGGCCAACGCGGACAAAGAAGAAGGACTTGCCGTGCAACCACCAGGCAGATGCCGAAGAAGTTGCTTTTTTGGGCACAAAGAAGGAGGACCTGCAAGAGGGCCAGGTCGTTTATCCTGGCATCAAAAAAGTAAGGAGGATCTGCCACAGAAGGCCAACCGGCTTATTCAAGGGACTGGGCACAAAGAGGGGCTTCGTCTTCACTGGGACAGGACTAGCCGGAGAGCCGCTTCGCTTATCCTGCGGGGACAGCGGGGACAAAGAAGAAGGATTTGGCAGAGGACCACTTCGCTTATCGAGTGGGGACACAGAAGGAGGACTTGCCGGAGGCCACTTTGCTTATTCTGGGGAGAAAGAAGGAGGACTTGCCGGAGGGCCATTTCGCTCATTATCCTGCAAACAAAAGAACAGCCTGGCGACAAAAAAGGAAGACCATGCGACGGCGCTGATCTTGCGGACAGAGAAGGAGGACTTGCTGGAGGGCCAGCTCCTATCGTGGGGACAAAGAACGAGGACTTGCTGGAGGGCCAGATCACTGATCCTGGGGACAAAGAGCTTATCCTGGCGACAAAGGAGGAGGACCTGCTGGAGGGCTAGTTTGCTTATCCTGGGGCCAAAGAAGGAGGACTTGCTGGAGGGCTAGTTCGCTTATCTTGGGGACGAAGAAGGAGGACTTGCTGGACGGCCAGTTCGCTTATTTTGGGCACAAAGAAAGAGGAGTTGCCAGAGGGCACTTCGCTTATCCTGGGGACAAAGAAGGAGGACTTGCCGGAGGGCCACTTCGTTTATGAGGACTTGCTGGACGGCCAATTCGCTTATCCTGGGGACAAACAAGGGGGACTTGCCGGAAAGCCACTTCGCTCCTGGTGACAAAGAAGGAGGACTCGCCGGAGGGGCCACTTCGCTTATCCTGAGGCCAAAAAAGGAGGACTTGCCGGAGGGCCAGTTCCCTCATCCTGGTGACAAAAAAGGAAGACCTGCCGCCGGAGGGCCGATCCGCTTAGAAGGAGGACCTGCCCCAGGGCCAGTTCGCTTATCCTGAAAACAAAGAAGGAGGACTTGCCGGAACTTGGCCCGGGAACAAAGAAGGAGGACTTGCTGGAGGGCCAGTTCGCTTATCCTGGGGACAAAGAAGCAAAGAAGGAGGACTTGCCCGAAAACCAGCTCGCTTATCTTGGTGAGAAGGAGACTTGCGCCGGAGGACCTGCTGGAGGGCGAGTTCGTTGACCTGTGGGAACAAAGAAGGAGGACCTGCTGCTCGCTTAACCTGGGGACAAAAAAGGAAGGCCTGCTGGAGGGCGAGTTCGTTGACCTGTGGGGACAAAGAATTCAGGAGGACCTCCTGGAGGACGACTAGCTAGTTCGCTTATCCTGGGGCACAAAGAAGGAGGACTTGCTGGAGGGCTAGTTCGCTTATCCTGAGGACGAAAAACGAGGACCTGTTGGAAGGCCAGATCGCTTATCCTGGGGACAAAGAGGGAGGACCTGCTGGAGGGCGAGTTCACGTGTCCTGGTGACAAAGGAAAAGGACCTGTTGGAGGGCTACTTTGCTTATCCTGGCAACAAAGAAGGAGGACTGCTGGAGGGCCAGTTCGCTTATTTCGGGGCAAAGAAGGAGGACCTGCCGGAGGGCTGGTTGGCTTATCCTGGGGGCAAAGAAGGAGGTCCTGCTGGAGGGCTAGTTCGCTGATCCTGGGGACATAAAAGGGGACCTGCTGGGGGGCTAGTTCGTTTATCCTGAGAACAAAGAAGGAGGACCTGCTGGAAGGCCAGCTCGCGTATCCTGGGGACGAAGAAGGAGGACGACATCCTCCGCCAAGTCGGGCGTCTCCGTGTGCAGAAGGCGGG